TACAAATGGGGTACAGGAACTTGGCCTGTTGAGTTATTTAATTGACCCTGTTGGAATTTTGTATAAATATCTTGGTAGACAATGTGGTCAAGAGATGTATGCAACTGGAACACCAAAATTTAAATTTCGATTTATGGAATTTATTAAAAATTAGACTTACATAATTTTCCAATATTATGAGTTCATATAATGTGAGTAGTGTTTATTTTGATCATCTGCTTTTATTAAATACATTGAAATTTAATATCACTTTTAAAATGATCTTGTATTAAATTTGTATTTTGAGTCATTGACAAAAATTTTGTTTTTTTTTTAATTTGATTAGTTATTTGTATTGAAAAATAAAAAACCCCGTTTGTAACTAAACTTATTATTACATGAATATCAATAAAAAACTTATTTGTTAAATTGTTATTATTATTTTATTGAAAATAATACTTGGTCTTATATACTTACAAAAATTATTTGATAGTAAAGCAAGACAATATTTTGTCAAAATTGAATTGAAAAAGACTAATACTTGTTTTTTCTTTTAATTAATAAATATTTTTAATTCTTGTAAAAAATCTTTATTCCATATTATACAAACACACTTTACAACTTATATGTATTCATCATTTAATAATAAACACTAGTTGATTACTTACGGTTTAAAAAATATATTAAATAAATTTATATATACAGTACTGTATATACAGTACATATACATATTTTTTTATTTATTTTACAATATATAATATAGAAATAAATAAAATGATAAACTTTTTAAAAAATTATAATACTTATGTTGATACTGTAAATACTTTATGGATTATTTATTTTCTAATTTAATCTTAATAATATCTTATTGATTAAAAGTAATTCAATAAACTTTAAAAAACTTTTTTAAAAAAAAAGATTAATCTTAAACTAATATATTTTATATTTTAATTTAATAGTTTTGATGATATAATTTATTGTAATACTTTATAAGCTTGAAAATATAAATTAAATTTTTTAAAAAAAATTCTTAATTGTATAATAATGATAATGATAATTAATCAAATTATTAAGTCAAATAATTTTTGTAAAGTTAAACAATAATATTATAATTATAATTATTTTTATTTTTAAACACCAGCTGGGCCTTGCTTTATTAACTTTTAAATACTTTAT